TACAGGATCTCACTATGCAGCTTGGACTTGTAGTGATCCTCCTGTCTCAGCCTCTCCAGCACAGGGATGACAGGTGTGTGTCACCACACCTGCTCTGGGCCGGGGCTAGCACAGCATGTGGAGCAGAGGTTCGAACCCAGGTCCTTGCACTTGCCTAAGAAGGAACCTAGTCCACTGAACTATCTCTTTGGCCCTTAACTTAAATTTTATAGGCAATACTGACACAGTTCTAGTATACATGGTAAATTTATAATTGCTTATTTCTTTCTTTTTCTTTTCTTTTCTTTTTTTTTTTTTTCAGTCCCAGGGATTGAACTCAGGACCTTGAGGATGCCAGGCAAGCACTTATTCTACCGAACTAACTCCCCAGCCCTAAAATTGCTCATCTCTTATGACTTCAAAATAACAGATCTCTATGAAGAAAATATTTCACTAGTACATGTTTTTAATTACTTAAGAAAAATTTTCACAAGGTTGTGACTTATCGTATATTGCCATATCTATTGGCATCGACTATGTCACTGTAAATTGTTGCACATGGTCACCTGATTCACCAAGGATAAATCTACCAGTGTTAGTACAACTAAAAGTTGTAGCCAATACATGGATAATAATTAAAATAGTAATGTAATTTGCTGCAAAAATTGAGAAAAACATAATCACACAGAGATAACTCAATTTTTAAATATCTGATTGTCTGAGAAATCTGAAACAAATGTGACATTTTGCTAGCATGCAACGATGTTTATTTCATGCTGACAAAGGGGCTTTTCATTTCTCCCATAGGGTGAAAATAGTTCATTATGAAGTTTGACAAGTTAACTCTTCATACTAGTTTAATAATGTAGGTAAATAACAAATTAATGAGATGTAGAAAATGATTTGGTTTCCAAGGAATGACAGTGAAGCAATAAATAAATGATGTATTTAAAATACATAAAATATTTCTTAAAACATCAGATATATTACCATAAATGAGTCAAAATACAAACATATTTATAGGTAAACATATTCATGTATGACAAAATAAGGCTGATGTCTCTAGGAAGACTCCTAAATTTAATTTTAAAAATACATATCAAATGATAAGGTAGGTAAAGTATTGAATGTTAATTCATCACAAGATAAAAATGAATAAACAATATAAAAGTGTCAATGAATTTTACAAATATATGTGTCCACGCATGGCTAAAATACCTAATAAATTTATACATTTAAAAATACAAGCAGGATATTGTTCTTGTGCTGGATTTCTGGGATCTTCACTATTATATGTCTCGGTGTGTTTTTAGTTGGGTTGAGGTTATTTGGAGTTCTGTATGCTTCAGTTACTTGAGTGTCAGATTGTTTCCCCATATTTGGAAAGTTTTCTGCTATTACTTCTACCCATATTCTTTTTATATCATTTGTCTTGACTCCTTCTTTCAAAACTAAACCAAAAAAGTTATACAAATGAAGGACCATTTTGTATCTGTATATACAAAATAGTTAGGATAGATATACAGCTACTTTCTCTTAATTCAATGAGAAGAAAGATTTACACTAATAATGTTTGGACAGGATATCATGTCTGCATCTTGTACTATGAATAACCGCTATGAAGACAATATTATGCAATGTATTAATTATTGAAACTGTCCTATTAATCAGTTTTGAAACTGTCTCATTGCTATTTATTTCTCAATAAAATTAATAAAAAATAAAATGAAATAAAAATACAAGACATAAGGGCCAGTCAAATAGCTCAGAAGATTAAAGTGCCTGCAAGCAGGCGCAGGGGCTGGGGGTTCGATCCCCAGGCCTACAGTGCTAGTCTCTCCTACAGGGTGCACCAAGACAGCACTTGAGACTGGGCGTGGTGGCACACGCCTGTAATCCCAGCTCTTGGTAGGCTGTAAACAGGTGGATCACTGCATATCTGATCTAGTAGTGAGACGCTAAACACCCTATAGACCCTTCCCTAAAATACAAAATAAAATAAAATTAAAATACAAGGTATCATAATTAATGAGTGAACAAAGGTTACATATGGATGGGAAAACCAACCTCTTCGTTAGCAAACAAACACAAAACTGCTCTGTGGGAAATTTGGCCTTTGCCTCAAATACCACATGAAAGAGAATGCCGCTGAATTAGGGATACCACTTGATTAATATAGTAATAATCTGAGACGCATCCAAAAAGCATTCAATGTTATCTAGTTTGAATAAGAAAAAGAAAATCCCTCCCAGTAGTTCCAAATTTTAAAAATGATTCAGGGTTTATTGAGACTAAAAATACAGTCAATTGTCGTTATCATATATTTTGTTCTCAGTGTGCATGCTATGGACAGGAGCTTGTGTTCCTTATTGATATTTCAGAGCAAAGCCTTGGTTTAGCCTCTGAATTTCTACACAGTTTTGAAAATACTCACTGAGTTTTGGCCTGGCAATGGAAACCGACAGCAACATAAAACTGAAAATATCCTGCGTGAGTTATAAAGGGCCAAAAATAATTAATGAGAGAAAGTGATTTACCAACACATCCATTACACTGTTAGATGAAATCTATGCTTTACACAACAGTGACCTTGTTTACCTTACTTAGCCATCGATTCCTTTTGGATAACTTTCCTTATTGCTCTTTTGACATCTTTGTTTCTCAGGCTATAGATCAGAGGGTTTAACATTGGACTCACAAAGATATAAAACACAGCAATGATTTTACCCTGTTCCACAGATGTCTCAGAAGGGGGCCGCAGATACATGCAGAACAGTGACCCATAAAACACGGTGACAGCAGTCAGGTGAGACCCACAGGTGGAGAAGGCCTTGCGCCTGCCCTCGGCAGAGCGGATGCGCAGGATGGCTACGAAGATGAACACGTAGGAGACCAGGATGATGCCCAGAGAGCAGGTGAGGTTGGACCCGGCCACCACAAACATGGCCATTTCTTTGACATACGTGTCTGAGCAGGCAAGGACCAAGAGCGGGGGGTCAGCACAGTAGAAGTGATTGATCTCATTGGGTCCACAGAAGGTCAGGCGAAGCATCAGGATGGTTTGTGCCAAGCCATTTGCAAAGCCATAAAGGTAAGGAGCAGCAACGAGACACACACACACACATCTGGACATTTTGCTGCCATAGAGCAAGGGCTGGCAGATGGCCACGTAGCGGTCGTAGGCCATCACCGTCAGCATGTAATAATCTGTGATCACAAGAGCGATGAAAAGGTGGAATTGAATAAAACAGCCAACAAAGGAAATGGTTTTCCTCTTGGATAAGAAATTCACCAGCATCTGAGGAGTGACATTGGTGGCATAACAGAGATCTACAAAGGCGAGGTGGCTGAGGAAGAAGTACATCGGGGTGTGCAGCTTTGAATCAGTTCTGATTAAGAAAATCATGGTCAGGTTCCCGATTATGGTGACAATGTAGATGAGTAAGAAGACGGCAAACAGCACAGGCTGCAGGTCTGCTCGGTCTGTGAGTCCCAGCAGAACGAACTCAGTCACCATGGAGTAGTTTTGCCTGGGCATTTTGTGTCTTTGGCTGTGACTGAGCCCTTAAGAAAAAGAAGATGTATCTGGCTTGTGTCATTTATTGATTGTCCTGTAATATCTGATACTTCTTCCCTTCTCTCAAATATGTTCATGCAACATAAAATTATTAATGATTCAAATATATAATATTAAAATCATATATATATATATATATATATATTCTGACAATCTTAAATAGTGTTTTCATTTTGCAAGTCTTGATAATATTTATCCATTCGTCATTTGCTTTTACATGAGTATAATTCTTGACTTTTAAAAACTAATGGAGCCCTCTGTGCTACACCACATCCTGTGATGTGCTCACTAATGCGGGAGCCATGGGACTTGCTCATGGTATTCACAGTCGAGTGAAGCACACGGAGAGAAATTGAAACACACTACACATAGAACTCACATCTCCTTTTTCCTGTGCCACACACGGTAGTCTTATTGTGAAGATGGGCACTGCACCTACAGTGTAGGCTCATTTTCCCATCTAGTCTGTCAACCTTCATAGCATAACAATTTCTTTACATTTTAATCCTATCCCAGGATGATGTCTGAATATTTGTATTCATTGGCCAGGTGCACAAATATTTGAAATATTTGGTTTGAGTTAAGCAATAGGTGATACAAGTACACCTGTACACACATTGGTACTTTGAAATGTCCATGCAGTGTGTTATGTAAAGAAAACCATGAGCCAGATCAAAGTTTTTGTGGGCAGGGAGTTTGGGGAAAATGAGAACTATTTGAAAAATGCATCTCCAGACCATAATCGACCTTTGTAACTACACCTCATGCTAATTCTTGCAATGCCTTTTATAAATCCAGTAATGTAAGTTCAAAATAGTCTCACTGAACTAAACAAGTTATTTCTTTAGTTTATGGTAAATTAATGTCTGCATTAACTGTAAGGCTGAGACACAACTTGAGATATCACACAGTAGATCTCTCAACATTTGGACAGAAGAAAGGCAAGTGGAAGACTGTCACAGAAAGTTACCATCTGCCTTTGGATTGCAAATTGCAACTCTGATGCCGCAGCAGACTCTTCCTGTCTCTCTAAGACAGTGCTGGGGCTAGCCATTGTACAGGGGCTTTGTACATGTGGCACTCACGTGTTCACACCCTTTGGTTTATCCCACTATGAATATGAGGACTTTGGACATACTAAGTAAGGTCATAGGGACTAAAATAAGTCAATCAGCTCCGTGAAATCCTAATTATTTTCTTCTCTTCACCTATTAATATCCAGCTGAATTTTATCACAATGGTAACCAAATTGACAAATGTTCTTTTGTCACCAGGAAGATATTCTTAATGCCATTTTAAAATTGAAACTTTCATTAAAGTACAAAATTATTAACATCTCTGTTCATTTTCTGCTGTGGGGATAGAAGGCAGTATAATTATCAAGCATTCCAGATGATTTGACTGAGTGCTTCAGTGAACTAGTTTTCCTTTATAAGAAAAGGAACATAATATCTTTTGTGATTTAAGCTAGAAAATCTCAAAAGAAATCATTCACAAAGCACATAAGCACTCTAGAATCCCCACTATTGAGAAGTGCCCTTGGTCAAATGCTTCTGGCTGCCGTTCAATCCCCTATTTAGAAAGTACTGACCTTCAGATTAATAAGGGCAGTGTTTCTCTGGCCAGGTATCATTCAATTTAAGTAGAAAAATATTAGGGAAGGACCCTTCAAGTACATCTTTTAGTTAACTTGAAAGAATTAACGTAGATTAAACACCTGAAAGTGCTCATTTCTAAACCAAGGGCAGAGAGACTGTATGAAACAATGATTATAACTTCAGAGTCGCAGTGAGAATCCTAACAATCACTTGATGCAGTCCCATATTTCACTTCTGGCTTTCTGAATTCAGTGACAGTAACCATGGCCAACTATTGAGGGCCAGAATGCAACATTTACTGAGAGTCTACCGTCCCACTTCCTGTGTAGAAATCCTTCTCCCTCTAGTTTCAAGCTGTGTAACTTTGGGTAAATTGCTAAACCCTCTGTGTCCTGCTTTTCCCATTGATGGAACTTGGCTAACAACAGTGAGTGCTTCCACATGAGGATGTTAAGTCAGCTACATCCTTCCAAGGAAGTCTGGCCTTTCATAAGCACTTAAAGAGTTGCGGTTGCTCATCTTATGCTGAAAGGCCCAGGGTTTTCCTAGAATAATAGTATACTTCAAAGCACTAGTTCCTTGGGGACCAGAAATTGTATCTAATCCTTGTCCATAGATACTGTGGGGTTTCTCATTTGGAAGCATTCGATAGTTTTTGATGGAACTAATGCTTGCTGTGGTCTAGCCCCCTTTGCATTATGGAAAACCACTCCAGTGTGCATTGTTTACAACTACCTCACTCTGAAAGGAATAGCAGCATATCAAAGCGACAACTGCCAATTCATTAGACGAAGAGTATGCTCTCAAGTTCCTTTGGTCTACTTCTGGATTGCAAAATTTAAAAGAAGTATATCTTATCCTACCTGACAAAAGGATGTCATTTCACAGTGACAGCACCTACATGTCGAACCTGAAGAGTTTATGTCAGATTTGTCTCATGGAGACCAAATCTCAATGGTTCAATTATTCCTTGCAGAAAATTAGTTAAATGATAGATTACCACTCTCTGCCTATTTCAAGTATGCGAAACCACTGAGGAAATAGCTTCTGTTCCCCCTCACCATCATGAAGCAAGCAAATGATGAAGCAATGGGACTCATTATTTATTTTACCTTATGCTGAATTTCTTGCTATTTTGCATAATGGAAATATTAGTTCAGCTCATACACAAACTATAAACTAAAAGAGTACATGACAGCGGGAGAAAAAATTGGAATCTAGTAAATATTGGAAAATCAATTAATTTAATTAAATTTAGACTAGTTACACATTAATTTAGAGGCTGCACTTTTATTATATTAACAGAAATAATAATGCATAGTAAGGAACATTGTATATTTATAGATAATGTAGATGAACTGAGGATTCTCCCTTTCTCACTCTACCCCTATACGGATTCACTGCCTTTTGTCTCTATTTTTGAGTATTTTCTTTGTAGACCATCTGGCAGACCACATCCACAGAGCTCTTTTGGCATTCAGTTTAAAACACACCGTAACTAATAAAAAGTAACAAACAGAGGTGAGAGACTGAGTGAAAGAGAAATACCTAAATTATGTCTTGTTCCCTTCCTTAAAAGGAAGCATGCTAGTAGCACTGCATCAGTTCAAGGAGAAATCCTTCCTGGCTATACCCCCAGAAGAAAGTGGTTAGGGACTTTTGAACAAAAGGGCTTCAGCCCTCATCTTGTTCTGGTAACCATGGAGACTGAGCTTGCTTCTTTGGTCTCACAGAGGAACTGTCTTCTGATATTCATCTGTGCTGCTTCCACTTCTTTGCACATGCCTTCAGAGTCAATTTGTCTTTGGACTTTTTTAAGCTAACACCAGTGATTAGAGTTGTGTTCATGCCGTGTTTCTGACCCAAGCCAGAGCAAAACAACAGAGTTAATCAATAAATGTTGTATCGGATGATGTTGAAGGCAAGTACTGTGCCTCAGAATTCGAGTATATCTGGCTTCCCCTTTGCTGAAACCTAAGAAAATGACTTTATTTTTATGTATTCTAATGAAATGGTGGGCTTTATTTGGGGTCAAATACTATAATTATTAGAAGTAACACAGGTAAAGTTGAATTTCACAGTGTGACCTTCATATAACTTCCTTTTGTTGCTGAAGTAGTCAATAAATTAATAAATGTGACAAGAGTCACATTCCAGCAGAAACAAAGAGCAATCATATTTAACTAAAATTCTATATTTAGAAGCAAGATCTAGTAAACTCTAAAATATTTAAATCAATGCTAAGCTCAACAGAGTTTCTGAATCATGTATGAATCATTTCAGTTTTTATTTTTCTATTCTAGGTACAACTAACAGAGCTACCTGGTGAGGCTTGCTAGTTATACTGAGTATGTATTCTTTTTTGTGTTTAATTTCCAAGCTAATGGAAGTGTAGAGTTGTATTTAACTGCATGTGGGCAACAGAGTGCTTGAAAGGTATATGGGGTGGTCGAAGACTGTAGTCATCATGCAGCTCGATGCGGGGGAGTTTGAGAAGCTGAGTAAGACCATGGAAACGTAAGTCTTGAGTTTGCAAAAGACACCAAGGCTGGTGACATATCTGAGCGAGTTACAATATTCTAATGGGCTCAAGTCTATAGGACTAGAAAATATTTCTAAAGCACTGAGCTCTGAGTTACTCAACTGAAAGTCAAGTAGAGGTGCTTGATTTGGCAACACATATACTAACCATGGAATG